GCGAGTGAACCAACATCATCACCGCTTAAATAAACTAAAATTAAAATCATCGGTCGCGATGCCACAAATTTCTGGACCGGGAGAAAAAATCAAACCCGCTCCCTAAGCTATAATTAGTTCGAAAAAGTGGGAGTCTTAGCATAAGACTGTTGCGTAGTGATCGTGGTTGAACATTAATGTTCACTTGTTGCAGAATTGCTCGCAGTCGACTCTTCCTTGCAGAGTATCGGCGATGGTTAAGGCTCTGAAAACATCTCTTCTGATACGTAAGGGCTCGACATTGATCAATTGGCAGCGATTCTCGTAGCTTGGAAGACGAAGTGGGTATCTCCAAGACAGCTCACAGAGCGCGAGGCGAAGAAAACGTCGTTGCACAGATTCAATTCGCTCGGCGCCATTATTCTAGTTCGGGCTCCAGACTGCAGAGCAGTATTCCAACGTAGATCGTACGAGGGAGCAATAGAGCGATTTCAAGCAGTAAATGTCTGTGAAGTTCTTAGTAATCTTGAAGATAAAGCCAAAAGTTCTGCACGCAGAAAAAACAGTGAGGCATAAATCAATTAAATATTTTGTTCTCGATTTTGTTATTATTAAATGCGAAATTTCTAATGGTATCGACATCATAACATCGTTAGTAAAAAAGTTTCTCCGTATGGAAAATCTGTCTTCGAGCATAAAGTATAAAAGATAAGTCTTAGTTTTTTGTTATGTCTATGTATAAAGTTTCTCAACTAGCAATCAATCTTAACTAACATTTCAGTGCTGACGTGTGATAGGGCATTGTAGAGCTATGATGGATTCATTATTTAGCTTCAATACCTCACTCAGACGAATTGGCAACGTCGTGTGCTTAACGATGAGACTTTTCAGCTAGCGACTCGCGAAGCTGACCGGGAGGAGTTGCATAAGGATTCGATTCGGCGAGATAGTAAAAATGGTGATTCCAACTTTGACAGAAGCTGAATAAATTCACCAGCGTGGGGATCGATGATTTGGAAATGTTTGTGTTTGGACGAGGCTGAGCATACGGGAAACTACTATTAGATTTTGATGTGGAAGGTGAAAGGTTCAATACTACTTAGGTTCAAAATGAGCATTTTCAAATATTCTATCATTACAGGAATTCCTCCTCTGCACCGCCGAAATGCGTCAAAATCGGCATCTGCAGCAGAATCGGTACCAGCAGCACAACAATCGTAAAAATTACCACCAACAATAACATAAGAATCTACACCATGGTGCACAGAAAGGCGCACAAGGGCACCATGTTCTTCCACCAATTCTCGCTCCAAATGCAATGGACTGATCAATAAATTAATAAACAAGCAGTGGCTTAGTTGGAAACCATAATTGAAAATGTGGGTTTATTTTTCAATAATGACAGCTAATCTGACCAGGGAATTTAAATAAGTTTGATTTTGAAACAATAAAAATAACATTTCAATCCAACAAAAACAATAATTACTTTATATAAGGCTTCAATTTGATTCAAGTAAACATTTTGTTAATTCAATAAAATTCGATGTTCAATTCAATAAAGTTAGTAGTATTATTACAACTCAATTTTGTTGTTGAATTGATCTATCAATTTTATTGATCCATATTCTATTCAAAATTTTGTTTAAAATTAAACATGATTTGTTTGATTGCACTATGTTTTTTTTTTCTGCGTGTGGACGCTTTGTCGACATATGTCAGGTGTGAGTATGTCAGCTTTGAGTCTACACGGTTAGAAAAAAGTACCCAAAATTAAGTTCTTTTCACTCATCTCGACACTATAGTGCAGGAACCCAAAAGTAGGTAAAGCGGGTCAAAGTAATTTTCATTTACTTGTGTGCAGTTCGTATGGAATTTTCCACTGTCTTTTTAACCAAAAGTAAGTTAGTTGTACCCAACAGTAGGTAAATATGATTATACTCAACGTTGGGTTCCCACACTTTACTACCCCTGTTGGGTGGTTTTGCTCCTCCGTTTTTGACAACATTAGAAGGAGAAAAGGAGACAAACTAGTCAAAAGTAGGTAAACGTGAACTTTCCGTTGGGTACTTTTTTCTTACCATGTAGACAAACGCCTAAGTCTTTCACCCGTTCGATAGTCGTGCCTAGTAGGTTGTAAAGGGTGATACGGTCAAAATTTGGTCAATATCAACTTGACGTATTTCTTTCAATTTTGCATTTAAAAAACCTGAACACCCCTCATTTTGAAGGTGTGTGTGTGTAGAATGTTGCTCCTATTTTGATTTTGGAATTCACTCTTCAGTTGTCAAAATGCCGTCCAAGCAAGAAGAGCAGCGTATCAAAATTTTGCTCGCGCATCGCGAAAATCCGAGCTACTCGCACGCAAAGTTGGCAAAATCGCTAAAAGTTGCCAAATCAACCGTTACAAATGTAATTAAAGTGTTTGGGGAACGTTTGTCGACAGCCAGGAAGTCTGGATCGGGGGGAAATCGAAAACCGGAAGCCGCTGAGACGACAAAGAGAGTTGCCGGTAGTTTCAAGCGAAACCCTAACCTCTCTCTCCGAGATGCCGCAAATAAGCTAAGTGTATCGTCTACAACCGTGCATCGAGCCAAAAAACGAGCCGGACTATCGACTTACAAGCAGGGCTCTACATTTTCGAAGCTCTAAAATGAACTCGTGTTTTTTTTTCTCATACATACGTGTTCAACGCTTCATTTCTATAACGCCTAGCTAGACTATCAGCAAGAAATGATAGTGAAAAAGAAGCACGCTTAGAAGGAAACGCTGGCTGTGGAACTTCTCGTCGTTGCTTTGCTCATCGCTTTCAATGTAACTAACGTCGATTTTCTAGTTAAACGAACCTCATTATGGCTTTCAATCCCCTTTCACGAACACTCTATCACCGATCTTTCAATTTGTTTAAAATGCGTTATGTCCCGTTTTTGATCTTTTTTTTTAGATAAATATATGGATGGAAGATAAATTAAAAATATTACGTGTAATCTTCACTTGTTTTCACGTGAGAAATGCTTTAAATGTGTTATTTCATTTTCCGTCATATACGTCATGAAACCTCTGTTGATGTGTTTCATGAAAGAAAAAACTATCAAAGTCGAGCGCTCTTTCGCTCATCCGTTTCACCGAAGCTTGAAAGGAAGACCAATGGAGCGACGGGAGAAAGAGAGACAAGCGATTGAACATTTCGACAGTGAGCATTCATAAGGGCGTATACGCGATGATCGATTCTCTTCATCGATTTTCTCTTTTGTTAATAACTCGCTAGATTTAACGTTTGTCGGTGCGTTTGCTGTTGCTTTTGATAGCCAATGCAACCTGTTACAACTCTACATTGAAAACATTCTACAAAATTGTTTCGCTTAGCTGTAGCAATGCAAAGAGAAAATCGATGAAGAGAATCGATCATCGCGTATAGGCCCTTATGCATGCTCACTGTCGATTTGTTTGTGCACGTCGACTGAGGTTCTAGAATGCTGCGAAGCTGTTCGACTTTAACAGAAAAAGAAAGCCAGCAGTCTCTTCGTCGCATCGATTTGGTCGATTGAAGCTGATATTGTGACGCCCTGCTTACAAGAAGGTAGTGACTCCAAATCGCGATGATAAACAAAATACGACGGCCAAAGCGCGATCCCGGAGGCTGTACACGACGATGCTGACGAAGTTTGACTGCGTGGTAATGGACGACGAAACCTACGTCAAAGCCGACTACAAGCAGCTTCCGGGACTGGAGTTTTATACGGCAAAAGGAAGGGGAAAGGTAGCAGATGTTTTCAAGCACATGAAACTGTCAAAGTTCGCAAAGAAATATCTGGTTTGGCAAGCCATCTGTACCTGTGGCTTGAAAAGCAGCATTTTCATAGCTTCCGGGACTGTCAACCAAGAAATTTACGTGAAAGAATGTTTGAATAAACGTCTGCTGCCTTTCCTGAAGAAACACGGTTGTTCCGTACTGTTTTGGCCGGATTTGGCATCTTGCCATTACGGTAAAAAGGCCATGGAGTGGTACGCCGCCAACAACGTGCAGGTGGTTCCCAAGGACAAGAACCCTCCCAACACGCCAGAGCTCCGCCCAATTGAGAAATACTGGGCTATTGTCAAGCGGAACCTAAAGAAGACCAAAAAAACTGCTAAGGGCGAGCAGCAGTTCAAGGCAAACTGGCTTTCTGCGGCGAAGAAGGTGGACAAGGTGGCTGTACAAAATCTGATGGCAGGGGTCAAGCGTAAGGCCCGGCAATTCGGATTTGGAAAAGCGGAAGCCTAACTGAATATTTTTCCTGAATTTTATACTAATTGAACTTGAAAAAGAAATTTAATTTGATTTTTTAAATAAACGATTTCACCGATTTACACGCGTTTTCCCTTGACCAAATTTTGACCGTATCACCCTTTAACACCATCAAGCTGCTAGGCGCTTTATACAAACAAAGGTGACATACAAAGAAGAAGTTTTCGTTTGTTTGCTGAAATGAACTATGACAAGATGTATCAATTACGTAGGAAATTAATCAGGCAAGGCGTTTGTAACTGGCATACTCCTTCCGGTCGTATGAAACAGGTCCAAACCTGCCCAAATCCGTCCGTATTTCGCATTCCTTCCGTGCGTTCCAGTTCACCTGTAGGCCCTTCTTCTTTTAATTCGCATTTCAAGCTTATTACGTAGCGCATATTGCGTGCTCTCAACTTAGTGTTCTAAATGCACTTCCAAGGCTATTAATTGAGAGCTTTCGATGCCAATACCAGTGCATGAGTTTGTATATTGTGTGGCAAGCACAATGATACTCTATGCCCAGGGAAGTCGAGAAAATTTCCAATCCGAAAGATTCCCCCGACCGAACCGGGAATCGAAACCCGCCGCCTCCGGATTGGTAATACCGTGCCTTTACCGGCTAGGCTATGAGGCCCCCGGTACTGTCCCTGCTTATGTGGTTGGCTGCAACATATACCTACCATGTTTACGTAACTGTAGATTGAAATAAAAAGTGACTCTATACGTTTGAAATTTTATTGATTAAATTGAAAAGTGCACGTACATTTAACATTATGGGAACAACAATTGAGGTTAAATTACTCACGATGATTGCATTTGAAAAGCTACCGGCTTTGCTACGAGATAACCAGATTTTCAAAATATATAAGATTCGCATAGATTACGCAATCATTAATATTCGATATCATTAGCGCTTGGTAGATATTTAAGAATGGATATAATAATCTTCTATGCATACTGCGCATGTTCAAAAACCCTTGTGCCATTATGGATTAGTATAATTTTATTGAATGTTGCACAAATACGGTTCTGTAAATATGTTTAATCAAAGCTGATCAGTTCGGCCGTTGCTGGTTCGGGAGCAGACGGTGCTGCTGGAGGTTGAACTGGAGCTGGAGCTGATATCGGAGCTACGACTGGTGCTGTTGGTGGACCACTGGGTTGTTGTACAACTGGTGGTGGTGGTTGCTGTTGTTGTACTTCAGCACCACCGGAAAGTCCCTGCGGAGGCTGCATGTGACCACCGGGTGGTAGCGTTCCTGCAATACCCATCGGCATACCTTGCGGTGGCTGTTGTGGAGGTACCATCATTGGAGGACCAGGTGGAGGCATTTGACCGACTCCCGAAGGCGGAATCATGTTCATGCCGGGCGGAGGAGCCATTCCCGGTGGAGGCGGAACTTGTTGTTGCTGTTGACCTGGCTGTCCTGACGGTGGTTGCTGAGGATGGTTAGTATTGACATCAGGTCCAGGAGGACCTTGAGGCATACCAGGACCCATAAATTGGCCGCCACCGGGCATTGATTGAGGCCCTTGCTGCGGAGAAAATAGTTGCTGACCCATTTGAGGCGGCATACCGGGCTGACTACCCGGAGGGCCATAGTGGGGAAGTGTGCCTCCAGTTGGCATTTGCTGATAGCCATATCCAGGATAGTTTGCAACTCCAACATGAGCTGGGGAATGTTGTGGTTGCCCTTGGTTTGGAGGGGACATGAACGGGAAGGCGGTTCCCATGCGGTATTGCGCTTTTTGCTGCTCCTGACGTAATGCCATCTCTCGTTCTTGCTCCTGGATGCGCTGCAAGGCCAGCTGACGTTGATACTGAAGGTATTCTTGTTTCTTCTTTCGCATAATTTCCAGCTTCTGTGCCATTTGCATCTGCTTCTGTCGTTCCTGCTCTTCGGCAATTCGACGCAACTTCTCCTGGTGTTCCTGGCGAAGAACATCAAGAGCAGCTCGTGAGTCCTTGATTTGAGTTAGTTTATCCTGAAGCTGCTCGTACCACATGCGTTTATCGTCCATGTCTTTGATGAATGTCAAAAGACGAGAATGCAACGAAGTCAAGTTCATGAACAACGTTTGCACGGAGCTATCAGTAGAAATGCTGCGTCCACGGCTGGAGTTGGACTTCATGCGATTAACGAAAATCTCCACTTGGGTCTTCATCAGCTTTGCAAATTCATCTATCTCGGCATCCTCAGCGCCCATTTTCGGCACAATTAAAGTGGGCTGAACGGGCATTGGACTCGGCATCGGACTTGGAGCGGAAGGTGAAGCCGGGGAGTCTGCCGTTTGACGCTGCTCCCAGTAATTGCGATTCAAATAACGAGCGAGTTCCGGATCGGAAGGAATTTCCTCGATCGGACTTGGACTACGTTGAACCTTGACAGGCTCAGGACTCGGAGACTTATGAAACGTTTTACGAGGTTGCCCAGCTTTTTTCGTCTCCGCTTCTGACTGACTAAGAGCCAATGCCAGTTGTAGTTCTTCCTCTTCTCGCAGCTCCTCATCCGTCTTGCGAACTGGCGCTTGAGTTTGCTGAGCCAAAGAGCTGCTTAGATACTCGGCAGGCAAATCTTCCTCCTCGGTAGCCTTCTTCGTCAGAGTCGGTGTCGGACGCTGCAGTTGAGCATAGCATCCATCGCAAACACGGACCTCACGTTCAATGCCGAACTTGGGCAAAGTGCTGTTTTTAGAAGAGCACTGATGGCAGAACACCTGACCACAGTTGCGGCAATGATGTTTTCGCTGCGTGAACGAAAAAGCCACTCGACAACGGTGGCAAACTTCACCATCGGCCCAATCAGGGGCATTCTCCGAGGTAAACATAGCGTCCGCTTCCTTCAGCTCAGGGAACTTGTGTCCTTCGCTCTTCAAAATGTTCATAGTATCCTGGAATGGAAATAGGCAATAATGATATTATATGATTCGAGGTTGTATTGCAATCTTTAGGAAGATGAAAATGGTACAAATTCAATATACGAATAGTCAACCGATCTGCTAACTCGTTTATTACCCCCATTTTTTCAACTTTCAAACCACAAGCATAGACAATGAATATGAGTCACTTGCAAATTAGATTATCAAACAAAAATTCTCCACTTTATCACGTCTACTGCAACACATCAGATTGTTACACTCTCCAGACAACACTGAAAGTCTCTCCCGATTCGACACTTTCTACGACCGTTCGTTGTCACCTCAACACACACATCAATAGTGATAATTGAATTAATCTTGCGTATTGACGAACTTACCCGAATCGACCGATACTTGAACACCGTGCGGAAGGCACAAGCCCAGGCCTGAATCAGTTCTAGCATTTTCATGCGAACCTCGTCGTGCGGGCTGCTGTTCACCAGACTCTGGAACATCTCGCAATTGGCCTTGTTCGAAATCTCGTCGTGAATGGGAGCCCCACAGTTTTTGACAACACTCTCCAGCACCAGTAGGGCATAGTGCGCCGTGTGCGGATTCGGCGAAAACATCTTTTTCTTCAGCTGCTGCATCACGTATTTGGCCCTGAAAGATATAGGGAAAATCGAAACAAGAAAAACAATGATTCATCCGAGAGCAAAATTTTCGCGAAACAATGAAAGCTTCAGCTTACGTGACGTCACCCTGGCGGATGGTATCGCAGATGACCATCGTTGCTTGCCAATCCGGTTCCAGGATAAGGTTGCTGGTGGCACTATCTGTAAATTGCACGATTATTATTTTTAGAAAATTGAACCATTGAAAAATCATAAAATTCAAAACAAAAACAAAAAACTTCCACGGCACAAAATCTTCCTTCCACATACCCAGACTTTTATCGAAATTAGACGAACGGAACATGATGATTCTGTTTCGATAACTTTTCTAGGCTGTCCAAAATGCGACTCCCGACAATGAAACAGTAAAATTGTATGGAAATTCAGCAATATTTTGAGAAAAACAGTCCTCAAATTTTCATTTGATCTGACGTATACAAAAATTTTCACTTTCTTGACAACTTCGTCACAGCTGATAAGAACAATTTTGACAGATGCTGCTGTGTGACGGTCGTGTTTGGATTTGGCTGTGTGAGTGAGATCGGCTAGAAAGATCAATTTTATTCATGCTGAACATTGCATTAGGTCCTAAGTAACATTGATCGATTCTCTTCGTCGATTTTCTCTTTCTTTAATAACTTGAGCACAAAACCGTTTCTTGTTATGTTTGTCGTATAAGATGCTGGATAAAAATTCTTTTATCGATATGTGTACCGAAAAAAAACTCGAATGTGGGGATACAAAGAGAACGCCGACAAAAAGAATCTGACAATGTTACTAAGGACCTAATGCAATAATCAGCTTGAATTATTATGGTGCAAGCATTTCATTAGGGTGAAACTGCTTTAGAAAAAAATGATCTCAATTACCGATTTATCGCAAATAAAGTTTACTTATGCAAATTAGCTATGCCAGCAGGTAGAGAAATCATTCATCTACCTGATAGTGTCTTTAATTTGCATGTGAGTGCATTAATTCACGACACATTAGCGACTAAAACCATTGATTGCAAAAGCAATTTAGGCTTTTTGAAATGTTGGCACTGAATAATTGCACTCGCCGAGGGGTGCGCTGAACCTGTTTATTACATGACAGATACACTGAGGAAAAATCAATCATAGATTATTTCATGCAGAGTCGATGTTATAATAAGAGACCCGACAAAAGAAGATGTAGTGAACAATCAGCACTGTTTGTTATTTATTTTTCGTCAGAGTAAACGGCAACCAGATTTTTTGCTACTTTCATTCTAAAGTGAAAAATTTCCTGTCGATAACGGAGCTTCTGGGAGACAAAAACAATTGACCACTTTGTCAAGCAGTTTTGGCGTGACTTTCTACCAGCGATTTCACAAAACTGGACCAAATAATTTCTTTTTTTTTATGAAACGCACAAATGTTGGCTACTTTTTTCGAGTGTCTAGAAGAAAAAATCTCAAAATAATGTTTTATTTCAAAGTTCGAGTGGTAGTAAACGTCATTTTAACTGCTCGAATGAAGTGGTTAATTAAATTAATTCCATTAACTACTGCTTTAATTACATTAATTGCGTTGTTTAGGGGTATTGAGGTAAATACATAGTCGTTATCTGCATTAAAAATGGAACCGAAAGCCAAAATTTCATCAATTTTGGTACACTGGAACTTTTTTTTTAATAAGTACGATTACATTAGCAAAAATCATCATCTTAGCGCTCCTTGGTGGGACTTTGTATGGGAGCGTGCTGTCAACGAATAGATCTAGTGTCAATGATCAAAAATTTAAATCTTGATTAAAAAATCGGGATCTACGGGATCGATAAAAATATCGTTGTGCTCAGAAAACGAAGCTCTATCAGATGATGTATAAACATTGTTAAACAACCCAATTACACAATATAGAACAATAACTACTTTTTAACTCCATTAATTACAATTGAAATTTCGTAATTAAAGTACATTAATTATATTTTCAATACTTTTAATTACATTAATAACGGATAGATAATTTTAATTACCGTCAGTACTACCAAAGAAGGAATACTAAGATGAAACAGTCGAAGGAAAAACTTTCTATTTTAGTGTCCTCTATTACGGTCCCTTTCATCCAATGAATACCTCCCGTATTCTAGGTAATTTTGTGTTTTTGCTGCCCCCTCGGTAGAGATGAAATTTTGCGCTCATTTTTATCAAAACCAATCTTACGAAAATCAGAGATGTCCCATTTTTTAACTACTCGATTAACAATTAATCGATTATTGTTTGTTCGCTGTGCTGTCGTTTTTCCACCCATTAGAGTGCAGCACATGTTTGAAACGATGGGTGACGATCCTCTGGAGAAGTTAATGCTTGTATTGGCATGATATAACCAATTACAAATATTGCACTATTCGGTTCGTTAATCGATTATTCGAATGAAAATCGGCCATCACTAGATGAATGTGAAACGTCATTTCAAATATAAGGAATAAATAATGATACAATTTGAAAGGGACCGGGGCTAATCGCAAATTACGTCCCCACGGTAACTGAAATAAACACGAGTGCGGACCGGTTGATACAACCAACAATCAATACGAAACTAACGATTTTAAATTGGCTCACCACTTTAGTAGCCTATTGGTCCCAAGCAAACGATTAACGTACCCTATTCTAGTTGAAATTCTATTACTACACTATGTTTGTTTTGATTCGCTATGAAAGTTTGACAGATAACATCAGGGGTGTGTGGATTCATGCAGAACATGCAGGGGTGAGTGAAATAGCTTGGGACTGCTTGGGACCGTTGTTCTGGTACTGAGTGAGCCAAAAATAATAATGATTTTCTTCGGGACCCAGCGGTCTTAGAGTTACCTCTATGATACAACCATAGAGGTAACTCTAAGACCACTGGGTCCCGAAGAAAATCATTATTATTTTTGGCTCACTCAGTACCAGAACAACGGTCCCAAGCAGTCCCAAGCTATTTCACTCACCCCTGCATGTTCTGCATGAATCCACACACCCCTGATGTTATCTGTCAAACTTTCATAGCGAATCAAAACAAACATAGTGTAGTAATAGAATTTCAACTAGAATAGGGTACGTTAATCGTTTGCTTGGGACCAATAGGCTACTAAAGTGGTGAGCCAATTTAAAATAGTTAGTTTCGTATTGATTGTTGATACAACTGTCGGTACACGGTAACCACATAATACCCAATAATGACTACAAAGTACACGGCGAATGAGAACGACCCAAATTTGAGTTTAGTTCACTCATAATCGCCAAAAGTGCAGAAACTCAGCGATGAGTAAATTTGTCTCGTGGTTTCCTGTGGAAAACCTAAAAAATCTGCCGGAAAATGAGGAAATTGACGAAAATTTTATTCAGTCTCGGAGTAGTACCAATAGACTGAATGAATCCATTTTTTACTTTTCTCAAATTCGGGAATTTTCCCCTGGAAAATCCTGGAAAAACCTGGGAAAACATGAGACAAATTTTACTCATCGCTGAGTTCCTACACTTTTGGCGATTATGAGTGAACTAAACTCAAATTTGGGTCGTTCTCATTCGCCGTGTAAGCATTTTCGAGGAAGACTGGGACTACCCATTAAATGAGTAAACATATTACCCATTTATGAGTATTTGTTACTCAAAAATGAATACTTACTACTTATTTTTGTAGTTGTAATTACTCATAAATGGGTAAAATTTTACTCATTTAATGGGTAGTCCCAGTTTCCCTCGAAAATGCTTACTTTGTAGTCATTATTGGGTATTTTGCGGTTACCGTGTAGACTGTGGACAATCCTCGCTGTTCCCCTTGATCAAGTTTAATAACCTCTAATGTTCTCAACCTGCTAATGTATGAAGGGCCAAAAACGTTTGGGTGAATCCATAGGCAACATCGCCCAATTGGGTTCTTTAAGGGTATTGAGGTAAATTCATATTCGTAATCTGCATTAAAAATGGAACCCAAACCCAAAATCTCATCAATTTTGGTACACTGGAACTATTTTAAATAAGAACGATTACATTTGCAAAAATCACCTTGGTGATGGCCGATTTTTATTCGAATAATCGATTAATCGATTAACGAACCGAAAAGTAAAATATTTGTAATCGGTTATATAATGCTGATATAAGCATTAACTTCTCAAGAGGATCCTCACCCATCATTTCAAACATGTGATGCACTCTCATTGGTGGCAAAATGACAGCACAGCGAACAAAAAATAATCGATTAGTTGTTAATCGAGTTATTAAAAAATAGGAGATCTCTGATTTTGGTGTGATTATTGTTTTGATAAAAAAAGAGCACATAATTTCATCTCTACCGAGGGGCTGCCACAAACCACAAAATTACATTGCATACGGGGATATTCATTGGATGAAAGCAGGCCAATGACAAGGCCTATACCAACCGGTGAACACTCGTGTTTATTTCAGTTACCGTGTGGACATATTTTGTGATAATTTGTATCATTATTTATGTACGATCCATATATTTGAAATGACGTTTCACATTCACCTAGTAATGGCCTATTTTCATTCGAATTATCGATTAATCGATTAACGAACCGAAAAGTAAAATATTTGCAATAACCGATATATGCCGATATAAGCAATAACTTCTCCAGAGGATCATCACCGATCGTTTCAAACATGTGCTGCACTCTCATTGGTGGAAAAATGGCAGCACAACGAACAAAAAAAAATTGATTAGTTTTTAATCGAGTAATTAAAAAATGGGACACCTCTGATTTTGGTGGGTTTGTTTTGATAAAAATGAGTGCAAAATTTCATCTCTACCGAGGGGGTAGCAAAACCACAAAATTACCTTGAATACGAGGGGTATTCAATGGATGAAAGGGACCGTGAAAGAGGACACTAAAATAGAAAGTTTTTCTTCCGACAGTTTCATCTTAGTATTCATCTTTGCCTATACCAACAGCAGCGTTTGACAGTAGGCAGCATGTCCCGGTCGTTTATTTTGCTGTGCTGGGCCCGCTGTCACGGTATAACATGTTGCCTACGCGCCTGCCACTGGGCTGGATGAAAGGGACCGTGAAAGAGGACACTAAAATAGAAAGTTTTTCTTTCGACTGTTTCATCTTAGTATTCATCTTTGGTTGTATTGCTACACTGAGTGGTAGCACCGACGAACCGACATGCCACTGGACCATTTCGTTTGTCCACAATTCTATTTGTCCAATTAGCGATTCGATCTGTCAAACGGGCGATCAGATCTGTCAAACGAGGCGAGAAGCAAACCATGTCAATGTAAATTTTACGTGTGTTCGTGTCCTTTCTCACGAAATGACGCGATCGGATGAGTCTTAAATATGGCGTCTTGGGCAAGAATTTGAATGTAGCTCTTTGAACTGGCACGTCACTTCGTCGGTGGTGGTAGTTCCATAGAGGTAACTCTAAGACCACTGGGTCCCGAAGAAAATCATTATTATTTTTGGCTCACTCAGTACCAGAACAACGGTCCCAAGCAGTCCCAAGCTATTTTACTCACCCCTGCATATTCTGCATGAATCCACACACCCCTGATGTTATCTGTCAAACTTTCATAGCGAATCAAAACAAACATAGTGTAGTAATAGAATTTCAACTAGAATAGGGTACGTTAATCGTTTGCTTGGGACCAATAGGCTACTAAAGTGGTGAGCCAATTTAAAATCGTTAGTTTCGTATTGATTGTTGGTAGTTCCATTTCATATCATAATTATATCAACATGATAATAATAGACTTATAATACTTGTTCAATCAGGCAGTGCAGTGGAAACTAACGATTTTAAATTGGTTCACTACTTGACTATTGGTCCCAAGCAAATCGATTAACGTACCCCATTCTAGTCGAAATTCTAGTACCACACTATGTTTGTTTTGATTCGCTATGAAAGCTTGACAGATAAAATGAGGTGTTCGTGGATTTTCCTATGTTTCGAGGGGTGCATCGATTAGCTTGGGACCGAAGAAAGTACCAGAGCTGAGCCAAAAAGTTGAACGCGTTTCTTCGGGACCTTCTAGCCTTAGAGTTACCTCTATGGTATAAGTTAGCAACTAAATGAGCTTAAATGTTAAATCTTAAAGGACCTGATTTGGCGTTTCCAGAACAACATGTGAAAAGGGCATACAAGCTTTTTGTAAACAAACCTTTGTAGGCCCTTTTCTCACCAACCGAGGGTCGCCCACGCAAACCAGCAATATCATCGGGAAGGGGAAAGTGTCCCCTAACCGGTGATGTTGAAGGTTTGCGTTGGTGTCATATGGGTGACGAGAAAAGAGCATAAGAAGGTTTGTTTACAAAAAGCTTGTATGCCCTTTTCACATGTTGTTCTGGGTTTGTATTAGATTAAATTAGATAAGATTCCGATAATCAGAACCTGACTGACCTGACCTGACTGGTGGAGCATATTACACATGCTAGAGGAAATTGATCCATTCTTTCAGTGATCTATTTTTATTAAACAACATTTACCACCGGCAAAACATCTATTAACATTCAATATGACAACCAATATGCATGCTGTTTTTATATAAATTTGTATAACGTTTAGCATTCAGTATTTGTATGAAACCGGTTCGTTGCTACGATTACTCATCAGTCCTGTGGTTCACTGCATAAACGTTATTTGTGGAGCCGACCTCGGCTCCCGGATGGTTCTAACGGTCATCAGATTATCATTGTAATAATCAAACAGACAGTGCTGCCGGCGGCAGGTGCAAACGGCTTCGTCTCCAGCGTTACCAGCTCCGTTTACCGAATAACTCTGTGATGATGCATGTGGAATCATGGGCATTTGATAGACTTTCCGCTTGTGACAGATGTAACAACCTATGTTCACGGGTACATTGCCTGCAGGCAGCTCCTGGTCACTGCAGGTATGTAAAGGTTGTCGAGAGGATGTATAACGTAGCTCGACTTGAGACTGACCGGGAGTGCAAATCAAATCTGGGATAATCGATAATGCTGCAAAAGTTAAATTAAGGTCATACACAACAGTACTGAAACAAATAGAACATAAACTTACACATATTTCTCACAGCTTCATTCGATCCGAATCTGTCCATTCTTTTTTGGTCATCCTCTCCAACCAACCAAAACGTCCGCATATCACCTTTTCCCTTAACTTTGATTACACCTCGTTCCTCGAACCTGTAGCCACCGATCTTCTTCAATAGGTTATAAGTAACCGATGAAATATGAATCTTCATTGATTCCCCAGTACTTTCCATTCTAGAAGCTGTATTCACGGTATCTCCAAAGAGGCAATATCTAGGCATCTTCAGTCCAACCACACCGGCAACACACTGTCCGGAATGGATGCCGATCCTTATCTGAATAAACTCCCCTGGACGATGCCGAATTTCCAAATTCGAAAGTGACTTCAGCAAGTGCAAAGCCAGCGAAGCGATTTCCCCAGCATGACGATCTCCGTTCCGTATCGGAAGTCCAGAGACAACCATGTATGCATCACCTATTGTTTCCACTTTGTACACATCGTAGCTGGAAATGATGAAATCGCAACACGTGTACAGATCATTAAGCATTTCCACTACCTCGAACGGTGTACTTTGGACACACAGCTCGGTGAACCCAACTAGATCGCTGAAGAAAATTGTGACGCAATCAAAACACTCCGCTTCGACGCGTTCTCCACGCATCAGGGACTCGGCGACGCTTCTAAAAGCAATATATTATAAATTTCGAAATTTAATCCACTGTCCAAAGGTGTAAAGACTATATAGGTATACCTTGGTAGCATTCTCAGAAGAAGGGATTCAGTTTTCTTCTTCTCCTCCGTCAATTGGTTAGTCCGTTCCTGAACGATTCCTTCCAGGTTGTATGCATACTTCTCCATAATCGCTAGCATGTTGTCAAATATATTGGGTTTCCTGTAGAAAACGAGAACTCCTAGTAGAAACTCAGATCAAGCAATAAGGGTAACCTACAATCCAGCCTGCATTGGCTTCAGCTTGACCCGTATCAAGCGGATATCAGGACGATCATCTGGTTCTTCCTCCCAGCACGCTTGCAAACATTGAATAACGTAATTCGGAGCGTCAAGACCACGCAGCGGAGGTCGAAATATTCCGTAGTTCTGCGGTGAAATCACCCGGGCAATAACTTCTGCAGAATATCGAAATTTACACAATTCACAATGTAGCTATTTAACATTATTTTCTTTACCTTGGTAATTAAGATTGATGTCTCCCCAGGGCCCTTTCCGGCCTATAATTTCGTACAGAACTATTCCAAACGAATATACATCACCTTTTTGGGTTCCTTTGCTCGGAGTGTTCGGGTTTCGTAAGATTTCTGGTGCTTTCCAAAGACTTCGGCGTAGTTCCTTTTCAAATCTACAAACGGATAAAACTTGGATTCAATTTCCTTTTGTCAGCACTCCTAACCTACTTATTGGGTTCTTCCTGCCCAGATTTGAATTCATGCAGTCCAAAGTCCGAGATTTGGGCAACCCATCGCGAATCAATCAGGATTTTGCTCGACCGCAAATTGCCATGCGATACGACATCGCTATCGTGCAGATAGATTAGTCCCTTCACAATATCGCTAACCAGTGACGATACGAACATATGATCCAGGGTAAGATCCTCGTTGGCCAACACATCGGCCAGGCTGCCGCGGGCACAGTAACTCGTCAGTATTGCAACAATGCCATGATCAACCGAAGCGCCGATAAATGTGATCAGATTTTCATGCCGTAGCTCTCGCATCTGCTTCAACTCCTTCCGAATGGTTCTCGTTATGTCGACCGATCGCTTGTGCAGATAGTTGATGGCAACTATGTTTCCACGGAAGAGACCTGGAATAGGAAATTGACGGAAGAACGATCTCGAGTTATGCTGTAAACACTATATAGTAGCTCTATACTAGATTTTGCAAAATACTTTTATGTCATAATCATTCCATCTTTTCAAATGATTTTTAAAATCCGCGACCTTGAACTTTCCCACAATACTGAAAATGTTCTGTTATAGATCTTGAATTTCTTTTGAAGGTTCAGCCTCTTTTTTGCATTGTTCCGGACATACTGCGACCAGTAATTTATTCTGTTGTGGTAGGGGAAATGGCTCTAATGTTGGCCATGGATCTGAGATTGGGCCCATCGCTAAAAAATCTGCTATTTATCAATTTTATCTAGTTTAACGATTCATTAAGACGTTACAAAGAGATATTTTACAGACGGGTCCCGTCTCAATGGATCCACTGGCTTCGGTGTCTTCAATGAAAACTCTAGCGCCTTCCGCAAACTTCAGGAACCTTGTTCCGTTTTTGTTGCTGAGCTGGCAGCAATCAACTTCGCATTGGGGATGATTTCCAACATGCCCGCAGACCATTACTTCATCTTCACGGATAGTCTCAGTTCGATTGAGGCTATTCGGTCGATGAAACAAGGTAGGCACTCATCTTATTTCCTTTCAAAGGTAAGGGAGCAGATGTGTGTGCTGGTCGAAAGATCATATATGATTACCTTTGTATGGGTCCCCTCACATTGCTCAATCCCAGGCAATGAGAAGGCGGACTCTCTCGCAAAGGTGGGCGCACAGGAAGGCGAATTGTATGACAGGCAAATTTCACACGATGAATTTTACCATTTAGTGCGTCAGAGTACCTTTTCGAGTTGGCAAACCGATTGGGACACTGGAAATCTTGGACGGTGGTTACATTCAATTATTCCTAATGTTTCTTCGGGAGCGTGGTTTAAAGGCTTGGGCTTAAGTCGTGACTTCATTCGCGTGATGAGTAGACTTATGTCCAACCACTACTCGCTAGATGCTCATCTCAATAGAATAAACCTCGTGGACAGCAACATCTGTCGGTGTGGAAACGGTTACGATGACATCGAACACGCAGTTTGGCAATGTACGGATAATGACGCCGCCAGAGAGCGACTTTTGAATACCCTCGAGGCCCAAGGAAGACAACCCTATGTTCCTATCAGAGACGTGTTGGCAACCCGTGATCTCTGCTATATGCAGTCCGTTTATGTTTTTCTTCAAATGTCTAGTATAAGAATTTAATTCCTTTTGTCTTTTGTCTCTCTTTATTAGTTTTTGTTTGTCTTGTCCCCCCCCCCAGAGATGCCAGATCTACGGAAATCTCCGTAGATCTACGGTTTTTGCAAATTTTTGCGGAAATACGGATCCGTAGGCAAAATCTACGGAATTTGGTACAGTTTCTATGGATTTTTTCTTCAGTGAACGTCTCTCTGTGATAATCGACTGCCATTGCTTCCGATATTTGCAAAACAATTACAGTACCAAACTAAAATGTCATACAACAGGCTCTGTCATACGACACTGTCGCCGAAGGCCGTCACAAATGTATTTATTTTAGTTTTTAATATACTAAGAGCTGCTGATGTTGTGCTTGTGTAAATTCTGAAAATAGCAAGCAACGATGTCCTAGTTACAACATTTCTGATCAGAAATGGTTTAATTTACACCAAATTGAGCAATTAAAACGAAATCACATGTGTCACTTGATAGTTATTTGATAATTTTCTTTTTGCTCGAATGTTGTCCTACCGTTTGCGTTGTGTAAGAGAGACGACGCTCTCTTCCCTATCAGCTCGATGATGATCAGACCGTCATCAAATAGCTCGCAATCCATAAGTCGTCGTACTTGTCCGACTTTATAAAGGAAACTACGGTTAAAGCGTGGCTTTCTTATTAGATTACGACACCACTATACCGCCGCTACGGGATCAAAATTGATCAGATCGCCATAGATGGACTTGAAACCCCTGTAGTGGCTCCTCAAATTGAGCTGGAAACCTTTGCCGTGGATAATGAGTCAGAATGGCTGCTTGGGCAACAGGAAACGCTCCTATGGAATGAGATGTCTGGAGATCGCTCCCGCGCAAAACAGGGTTCCTCTGCCATTAATATATGATGAGCACACAAAGAGATAGCTTTTCCTGCCATACGTTTCGGCCATCTATGGAAATTCAATCCAGGGGTTCAGGTGACATATTTCATGATGGCATCCAGTGAAACTCGTCGTCAAGACAGCTGTTTGGCCAAACCACAACATTTGTTGTATATGACAATGAAAGCCTTAGAGTTTCCGAAGACTTGCAATGCACTTTTAAGTGCACGGGGACTGCAAACATTACAGGTGTCAACCTTAAGGACCGCCTTATTCATGGAGCAGTGCATTGAGCGAAATCTATCCTTCCTCAATACCGAATTCAGTACAGTACAAAGGAAGAGAAATTTGTTCACCATGATGTGACAATTGGGAAAGCCTACAATGTTCCTCACACTCAGTGCAAATGAGATGAAGTAACCCCATTTGTTGAATCTCCTACATCGATTGTCAGAAGGACACAATGGCAATGACTTAACAAATCCTATCCAGGAATTGACTGCACTACAAAGAGCAACTTTGGTCAATGATAATCCAGTCACGAGCTGTGTGTACTTCAACAAGCTGGTTGACACGATTGAATTTCAGCACCGTGGAAGTCCTCACGCGCACATCTTGCTATGGCTGAACAGGATCCCCGTGAAGCCATCAGTGAAAGTATGTCAAAAACTTCAGGTGCAACAGTATCATGGTATTCATGCCTGTACTACCATCGGCCCTTTTCAGGGCCACTAAGATTTTCCAAAAGGGATAAATTTCTGAACATTTCCCAACTAAAATTCTTATCAACAGCTTCTTTTCAGGGAAATCATAGTCATAGATCAAATTCCCATTCCCACACAAAACACAAGTCCTGCCGCAGTTAAAAAATAACTTTATTATATACGACCACGTAATCCAACGTCACCAACGTCCAACGACATAGAATTAAGTGAATTTTGTTACACACAGTGAACAATGAATTATCGGCTCCGTAAAGCTAACGCGATTGAGCCTTCCAAATAAACGAACTAGATAAAAAAAAAAGACGTTACAAAGGGATATTGTTGGTCGCTGTTGAAAATTTAGTCGATTGCTGAATTTATGTATGGGCCCAAATTAAGGGCATTTAGGCCGACATTACATCCATTTCTCCTATTCGGATTTGATAGTTTCCATTCTTATTTTCAACGCAAGCAATTCCAATTGAAAGGTTCCACTATTTATTAGAAATACTCAGAAGGAGAGATAGGCGAAGAAAACAAAATACAATTTGGCAGCAGGGATTTGTTCCTAAATTATCTTGCAACCCATAGCTAGAAGCTAGCATTTCAAATGACTTTTATTTTTGATTGGATTTACGTGCAAAATAATAATTGATTACATTGCAATATTTTGCACATTTCTTGGTGCCATTTATTAACCAACGAAGATAAATTAATGAAGAGCGTTAGAATATTGTTTTTGGTTCCAAAAACTAGTTGAATTTGAGAAGCACACAAAACATAAAGGAATTTCTGTTCGATTGCAATACTCTCAAATTTATTCTAGTAAGAATAAAAAATAATCGGAAAAATTCTAATTGGAATGTCCGATTGGCTCAGATTTTGACAGTTCATTTGGCTCAAAATATTCTCTCCGCCCATCTCTCCCTCGAGTATTTCTACTATTTATATACTTCGAAGAGTTAAAGCAACAATCAATACGAAACTAACGATTTTAAATTGGCTCACTACTTGACTAGCCTATTGGTCCCAAGCAAATCGACTAACGTACCCCATTCTAGTATAAATTCCAGTTCTACACTATGTTTGTTTTGATTCGCTATGAAAATTTGACAGATAAAATAAGGGGTTAGTGAATTTTCCTAAGTTTCTAGGGGTGAATCGATTAGCTTGGGACCGGAGATAGTACCAGAGCTGAGCCAAAAAGTTGAGCTCGTTTATTCGGGACCTTCTGGTCTTAGAGTTACCTCTATGGTTAAAGCACCCTCCAAATCGCCAACCCTTTACCAGTCCAAATCGGATTCCTTAGCAAGAAAATAATAATGGGCATGAATTAGGGTCGAATCGAATTCAGTTTTTTACTCGACATATGACTGACGATCAGCTAATGTGCTTGCAGTTAAAAAAAATCAGTGGAATAAATATACTCAATTTGAGCAGCAACAATAATATACTGGACATGCAATTACTCAAAATTGAGCAGCTGTTTATAGGGGTTTAAAGTAAAATAAAGTTAACAAATATTTAAAATCAATAAATTCAGTGTTGTCCTAAATTAGGCTAAAACTGCCCAGCCTAAAGTTAAAGATATCCTAGTATAAACTACCCAAACATAGGTTGAAAATACACAAATCCTGCCATTCAAGATCAACAATTGAAAAGGCTTCAATTTCATTTTGTAAACAAACCTTGTAAGGCCATTTTCGGGGCCATTTTATCGCGTACCGAAATCTGCATTCGCAAATCTAAAGCACAAACGGGTAGAGAAGAATTTCCCCACCTGTTCATTTTGTTTTTTTTTTTAACTTTTTATTTGTTCCAAATTTAAAATAAATTACATTTCATTTTTTTTAACCTAGGTGCTCCAGTTACTGCAGTAACGTACCAGCCTTAATTGTTATGATATATATCTAAGTGTTTTTACATTGTTCATGTCTTGGCAATTCAGTATTTTAAACAGGTTTTTTAACCTGCATGTCAGTATAACAATTGATATCTTAAAACTAAAAACTAAAACTAAATCTTATCTAAGTATAAAGGGAATTAATCGCAACGGTTTTTGCTTGAAATTATTAATTATTTTGTTGGACATTTGTTCTAAAGTCTCAACATTCGAAATTCTATGTACCTCGGTAGTACTGTACCAGGGAGGCAACTTCAAAATCATCTGCTTTGAAGTGCTTTTTTCCTGGTAGTGCAACAACAAGACCATATTGGCACAGCGTAA